TTGCCTACGTTATGATATTCTTATCTTTCCTGGGTCTCAGGCAAAGTGTGAAGTAAAAATTTTGATTAAAATTTAAGAAAAATTTAGAAAATTTAGCCCTTAAATTTGTCTCTAGACAAAGTCCGTCAAGAAGGCAAAGACCTAAAAGATCGTTGATTTTTACCATTCATGAGTTTGTGTAAATTTTGAATCTGATGATGGCGCTGTTGTCTCGCCGAAACGTAATGAAATAACGATTTTCAAAATTTTTACTTCACACTTTGAGACCCAGGAAAGATAAGAATATCCTAATAAGTACACGCAGTCAGGAAAATAAATCAGAATTGATGAATGACGTTGAGTAAACCATTTACACAACTAAAAACTCGCACCGCTGCGGCTATAACTGCAGCGTCAGCAGCATCCTGCATATTGACGAATGTATACAAACGTTTGAACCACAATTCAAAAGGAATTTTGCTTCAAGCATTCGACACACCGTGTAGCAGATACATTTGCCGCACGAACTGTCGAACTTTTTGACTCAAATGTTCGGTCCAACGTTGGTACGAATGTTCGACGCATCGTGTAGCGCCGGCATTAAATGTTCAGTCCAACGTTGGAACGAATGTTCGACGCATCGTGTAGCGCCGGCATTAAATGTTCGGTCCAACGTTGGAACGAATGTTCGACGCATCGTGTAGCGCCGGTTTAATGGAACAACGCCAGGACTCTCTCCTTATTCCAGGGCGCTTTGGCGACAAGGGTGGCGCGCGCGCCCCCTGCACTGGCGCAGCCTGCGCGCCTCTATCGAGCGACGGTCAGTCCGCGCCCGGCATCGCTGAGGCAATGACCAAGTTGATGTTAGCGCCATGACCCCCCGCGCGTCCGTGCTCCTGCCGCTGCTGCTGCTGGCAGCCGCGCAAGAAGAACCCCTCGGTGACTATGAGGAAACGATTAACTTTCCTGCGAATGGCACTGATAACTACACGTTTTTCTATGTCACGTCGCCGCTGCCGCCAATCAACGCGACGCACCGAAAAGGAGACCCTCTATTTCCGGAAGAGATCTTTACCGAATATCAACTTAAGCATGGTGCTATAGTTCTGCATATGTTAGGCGTTGCTTACATGTTCATTGCTCTGGCTATAGTCTGTGATGAATTCTTCGTCCCCGCCTTGGATGTTATTATAGAGAAGTTAGATATTCAAGACGATGTAGCAGGTGCGACCTTCATGGCAGCCGGGGGATCAGCGCCGGAATTGTTTACCAGTGTCATTGGCGTCTTCGTGTCTTTCGACGACGTCGGTATTGGTACTATCGTCGGATCGGCGGTCTTTAATATCCTCTTTGTAATCGGGATGTGCGCAATCTTTTCCAGAACTGTTCTAACGCTCACCTGGTGGCCCCTTTTCAGAGACTGCTTCTTCTATTCCATCAGCCTGATCGCGCTTATAATCTTCTTCAGAGATAACTTGATCCAGTGGTATGAAGCGCTAGTTCTATTTAGCTTCTATATCGCGTATGTTAGTTTTATGAAATGGAATCAACCCATGGAACGCTTCGTCAAAAAACTGGTCTACAAAAACAAAGTAACGCGGGTGCGATCAACCGATCAGCTGATGCCAACTGTAAGTTCTTTAGTTATCTCTCCATCTATTATAACATTACCTGCATCTTATGGTCTTGCTTCTTGCTGTTCTAACACAAGCTCTACTGTTCTGAGGTGCAATGCTCAATTAAATGGCGTAACGCGGACCGTAACCATTATCCAACTAAAGGCACTCTGGATTCTATTTTGAGCAACCCCACTCCCAAACACAGTGTATTTCTTTATTTATCCCAAACTGTCTTACCGTTGAGTTAATGAATAATTCACTGCTAGCTTTATAATGGTTTATTGATTTAATACACCTTGATATCAGCGTATTTGCGTCATTGATTAATAGCATTAAGATGTGCAGGTATGCAGGGACTGTCAACTGACATTTCGAACAACGAAATTTTCTAATTCTTGCAATTTACGGTGATTGGCAGTTAGAACAACTAATTAAATTAAGAAAATTTAGAGGTCAAAATTCACGTCAAAGCCACCAACTGTCCCACATCGCAGACGTGATTATCACGGCTATATCACAGCCAAATTACGTTGATAAGCGACGTACTCAGATGTAGCGATATATTCCAAGTGTAGTTTCTTGCGTCGTGTCTTAAGGTATATTTAGCAGCACTAAAATAGCAAAGTGCTTAATAATATTATACGAAATAAAGCATACAGGGTGGGCCAACGAAAAGCACTCCTATTCATGACTCTCCTGGTAGATTTAGAAAAAAGGCTCAAACACGTCAACTTTGATTTTTAAGGGAACATCTTGCTGACTAACATGGCATTATACAGGGTCTTTCATAAACAAGATACTACGTCACACTTCTGATTTTCAATTGAAAACCTACTAGTTTTATGTCATTTTTCGATCCTGCCAGAAGTTTGCAGTAAATTTGCTATAGCATGTCTTATACCCATTTTCAATCGTTTTAATTTTATTTGCGGTTAGTGTTGAATGACTGATATATTGAACCGTTCGAAAGTATTGCACATATTCGAATACTCGAATATTCGAATATCCGAATACTCGAACATTCGAATATCCGAATATTCGAATATCCGAATATTCTACAAGCATTTAAACAAATACCCATATATTTACAAGCAAATGAAAATAATTATATTTACTCTCCTGCAAATGAATGTAAAATTACGTCTCTGTGTTCTGGTGATACGCGTCATCAACTTTTGCGCGGTGTTACAATTACATAATGTGCCGACAAATGCACTTTTTTATCCGTAACGGCTAGTTGCCAAAAGTGATATGAGATAACGATTTTTCTTCTTAGAAAACGGTGAACGGAAAACGAACACTCGAATATCTAACGAATACGAATAGAAATACTCGAATTTTACTATTCAAATAAATCACTAAACGAATCTTCGAATATCAGATTTTTAAAAATTCCGAGCCATACTATGGATACTTCTGACAGTTTAAGGCTTAAACTTGATTTAACTTACCTTGTACAGTTTTCATTACATACAGTGAAATCTTCTATTCGCAAAAGTTTACAAATAATTTAAATTAAGGAAAAAAAAAGTTTAAGCCCACACTGACGTAGACGGCGACTCGTTGTTTTTGCTAATCTGTCAGAGGTATCCATAGAAACGGCAATCTGCGATACTTTCGAACGGCTCAATATCTCGATCATCCAACAGTAAACGCAAATAAAATTAAAACGGATGAAAATTGGTACAAGCCAAGCTATAGAAAATTTACTACAAACTTCTGGCAGAATTCAAAAATGACATAAAAGTAGTAGATTTCCATTTAAAAATTAAAACTGTGACGTAGTATCTTGTTTATGAAACACCCTGTATAATGTAATGATGGTCAACAAGTGTCCCCTTAAAAATCAAAGTTGAGTTCCAGAATTTTTTCTAAATCTACCAAGAGAGTCATACATAGGGGTGCGACCTTTTCGTTGGCCCACCCTGTATATGTAATAAGCTATTAAATACATGATAGGTATATCAGTTGTTTACAGAAGTAAACCCTTAGAACTGATTTAAATGAAAATGTAGATGAAACTAATACAATTAGCAATAATAGAGCAGGAAATGTATTAAAAGCAAGCTTCACTGTACTTAAAGATTTGTGGAAAGCTTCACAGAGAATGAGAACAATTGGTCAGACATACAAAAAGTAGCACACAAAAATAATTGTACAAAACTAAAATAATACATTAGACACAAAAATGTATCATTAAACGTTACAAAACCAATATTGATCTTTCTAATTATCGATCTAAATTCTCTTAAAAACGTTTAATCACTAACAGAGATGAATTAGCTTGAAGAAATACAGAAGAAAGTGAAATATTTCCTGCATCCTGAACACAAGCGTTTTTTGGAAGAGATTTCTAATAGCACATATTTGTGTTACCACTTGTAGAATTCTTAAAACATTCTTTTAAAAGTTAAGGTGGATAGGAATAAATATTTTTTTCTTCTAAAAAATGTTCCATCTTGCTAAACTGATATCAAAGTTTATGAAACAATACTGTTCTTTTTGTTCGATTTGTTGTTTCGCAACTTAGACAACTTGCACTCTTTATTAATTTTATTATTTCTAAAGGGTGTTCCAATAAAAACGACGGATTTAAATTTTAAATAAAACATATATATTTGCGGCATAAGTTTGAAACATTTATTGAAAAATGAAGTACAAATCATGATGTTATGAATGGAATAAGACATCCGGATAAATTACCTCCTCGGCTTTGCTGGCGCAGACGTGCTCTTTTCATGAAATTTTCAGGGACTGTTGCGCATAAATTTTGCGGTATTTCAGACAGACAGCGTCGAATTTAATCTTTTAAGGCTTCCATCGTTGTTGGTTTGTTCACATAAACTTGTGACTTTAAAAAACCACCAAGAAAAAAGTCCAAAGTCGTTAAATCGCATGATCTGGGCGGCCAATGCCGATCTCCAGAACGAGAAATAACACGACCAGGAAATGACTCGTGCACTAATTCAACAGTTTCTCTGGCTGTACGGTCCTGTTGAAACCACATGCTGTTGAGATCCAAATTTTGCAATTTTGGCAGAAAAAAGTTATCATTTCACTATAACGAATATCACTCACTGTTAATGCTTGACCAACTGCATTTTCGAAGAAAAATGGTCTGATGAAGCCTCCAACCCACAAAGCACACCAAACAGTGACTCCTTTTGGATGTATTTGTTTCTGAACGATCACTCGAGGATTTTCGGGACCCCAAATGCGACAATTTTGTCGATTAACGATGACATCAAGATGGAAACGGGCCTCGTCACTACAGATTATTTTCGTTGAAAAATCACCGTCCAATTGTGGTTGTTCCAAAATCCAATCAACAAATGCTCTTTGTTGCCCATGGTCTTCCGGCCTCAGCTCTTGAGTCAATTCAACTTTGTACGCACGAAGCTTCAAATTTTGTTCAAATTCGATACGGAGTGGGTCTGGAAACCTACTTTGCGTATTTTTGCTTATAACTTCTTAAATTCCTGTAAATATATGTTTACAAAAAAGCATTTTTTTAAGTGAATTTGGGAGTTGACATTATACAGGGTGATTCAAAATTGGCGTCATTCTCTTTAAGGCGGATAGAGGCTCCCTTGGGGAGTACGAAAAAAATATTGAAAATGTTTTTTTTCGAAAATTTCTAGAATATATTAATAGTTGAAGATTTTGAATTTCAATTTTGTTATTAAGCATTATTTTGAAATTGTTCCATGTTTAATTGGTAGCATATTGGAATACTTAAGCATTCAAAAAGAAAAATTACGATCTTT